ACCTACCTTTTAGGATGATTGTGAGGATTAAATGAGTAAAATACATGTGAAATGCTTAAACACATGATTATTACCACAGTAAGTGCCCAATAAAATATTCTTTTGTTTATTCATTGTTGGGACCTAGTTACTTTTATGGTTCATATTACTTTTTTTTTTTTTTTTTTTTGGAGACAGAGTTCTTGGTTCTGTCATTCCAGGCTGGAGTACAGTGGTTGCTCTCTTGGGCTCACCTGGGCAACTCTGACTTTCCGTTTTCAAGTGATTCTACTGCTCTCAGCCTCCCCCTCCCGAGGAGCTGGGAATCACAGGTGTGTACCGCCACTGCCTGTCTAATTTTTGTTATTTTAATAGGAGACACAGGGTTCACGATGTTGGCAGGCTGGTCTTGAAACTGTCCTGATTTCAAGTGATCCGCCCCCGCTTCGCCTCCCAAGTGCTGGGATTCAGGCGGGAACCACCACACCCAGCCATGCCTTAACACTTTCTACTTTGTGGCTTTAACCTATGTCGTACCAAATTATGTACATTCTTCCACAGAGAAAAAACTGCTGTATTCTCTCACTTCTTAGACCTTTACTCCAAAATTGTCTTTTCTCTTTCACTGTGCTAACTGCTACTCATCCATAAGGACTTCATTTTAAATGGCAGTTTTCGGGGAGCCTTTCCTGTTCCTCCCTCAAGTCTGGGTAGATGTCTCTGTCAAAGACACTCTTTTGCTTCTGACCACTGTAGTGTAACGTCTGCTTAGGTTAGACAGGAAGCACTCTTAGGCAAGGATTTTGTATTATTTATTATTAGAGTCCAAGAACACAAGAAGTGCTCAATGTGTTTTTTGTTTGTTTGAGTAGTGAATGAATAGATTTTCATTGTGTAAGAAAATATAGACTATACTTGGCTGGGCGCGAAAAAAAAAAAAAAAAAGTAACTATACTTGTTTGTATTTATTATCTCTTTCTGTATCTCTAGTTCGTGAGGCCTGGAGCTGAGAATTCAAGAGACTACCCTGACTTGGCAGGAGAAGCAGGTAACATAGAACATTTAGATCTTTGAACATTCATAGTTTATTATGTGGTCTGTCTTGATTTCATGGATGGGGCAGCCTTGCAAGCCCAAAAAGAAGCCCAGTCAAGGGAGAAGAACCTGTGCAGAGAAATGCCTAGTGACTCACTGCAAAGGAAAAGAGCTTGGGCATTCTTAGCAGCTACATAGCCAGAGCAGAGAGTGGCTTACAATTTTATGTGCTGTCCAAATATTTGTTGAGGTGGTTAAGGGATCTGTGGGAGAGAGAGGTAGGGTCATTAAAAGGGATAACATCATTCTAGTGGGTGTTAACTTTAGGAGTTCTAATAAAATTAGTGTCTTCCTTTCCTGGAAAAGGGATAATCACATTCAAAATGTATTAAATACCTTTATGGTGGTTTTCTTCACTTCATTGAGCCAACATAGAGAATTCTTTTTCTGTCACTAGGTTACTGCACAACTAAAGGAGGTATTACAGTTTGTTATTGTTTATTCTAATGAGTATTAGTACTTTTGAGCAAAAGACGGGTGAATATTAGTGTGAGTGGAACCAACAGGGAGAAAGATGTACAGGTGTACGGGTCCTGGTTCTCTAAGCATTTGGCATTCTTTAGAGACGTGCCACGACCAGGCTGCATCTGGCTGCACTGTGGGTCTGAGTTCTAGCACAGAGATCCGCATCCATTGTTCTCCTTCTCCCCCACCTCTCTTTTGTTTTTAAAAAGGGGACAAGCATGAGAGCTTCTTTACATGATATATATAAATAATTTTTTTTGCCATCAATAAGAAATTTAATTGTTTTGTAAAAATCTAAATGCTGGCATTGCCAGAAAAATTTAACAGGCTTTTTTTTTTTTTAATTTGAAATGGAGTTTTGCTCTTGTTGCCCAAGGTGGAGTGCAATGGCGTGATCTCAGTTCACTGCAACCTCCATCTCCCAGGTTCAAGCGATTCTCCTGCCTCAGCCTCCCGAGTTGCTGGGATTACAGGCACGCACTACTACGCCTGGCTAATTTTTTTTGTATTTTTAGTAGAAACAGGGTTTCTCCATGTTAGCCAGGCTGGTCTCGAACTCCTGACCTCAGGTGATCCGCCTGCCTCAGCCTCCCAAAGTGCTGGGATTACAGCTGTGAGCCGCTGCACCCAGCCTAACAGGCTTCTTTATATCCCTGCCGTTATAGTACAAATTCACACACAAATGAAAATGGAAAAACTACCAATACTTGATTTCTGTCCCCTATTTTTCCACTTGCAATCATATACTTAGATGCCTTTTGACTCCATGGGAAAAAAAAATCTAACGTTGAGAACTACCACTAACAAGAAGAAAAGAATATTTTTGTTTTTGAGAATGAAATGGTTCCCGACATAGTGGGTTCTTAAGCACCTTCTCTGCATATGTAGTATGCTAGCTTGATGTCTGTTGGTGTAATTGTTACTCATTTGGCATGGTTAGTGCACAGGTTGGTGTCTTCAAAGAGGCCAATGAGATAGGCCTCACTTACCTTTTGCAAAGCACCAATAGCTGCACTCTGGAAGTGCCAATCTGTTTTTAAGTCCTGAGCAATTTGTTGCACCAGATGCTGGAAGGGAGGTGTGTGAATCAGCTTAGTGGACTTCTGATAACGTCTGATTTCACCGAGTGCCACAGTACCAGGCCTGTAACGATGAGGTTTCTTCACCACTGCAGTAGAGGGCACACGCTTACGAGCGGCTTTTATAGCCAGTTGCTTCCTGGATGCTTTACCACTGGCTGATTTTGGGCAGTCAGCTTTGTACTAGCCATGGTATAGAGACCTCCTTACTTACCCTCCTTCTTTGGGTGGAACTCTGCCAGCTAGAGGTGGTGCTGATGATAGAGAGGGGCAGCAGCTGCTGGAACACCTAAATAAATGTTTTGGTTTGGGGGCAAGTACTCTAAGCTTAGGTGCCAGTTGTTTAGGAGAATTCTGGGAAATACCTGCTGTCAACACTTGGAGACCTTCTCTTTCGTCCCATAAGTTGTTAGGCACAGTCCTTTTCCTAGGGAGCCTCCCCAACTCAATTCCTGCTACCTTATTGCCAGGCAACCCAAAAGGAGTTACTGCGTTTATTCCTTAGATGTTCCTGCTTATTACCATAAGCATCCAGTACATATATATTTAGATTTTGCCTCAACTTTTTTTTTGTTTTCTTTTTTCTCTTTCTAACCATTCCTTCAACATCACCTCTTATTATTCAACTCAATACTTACATGTTATACAAGGAATCAGAGCATGTCTGTCCTCCAAAACAAAGGTTCAAGAGATTTGATTAATTGCAGTGGTTCTCAGGGCAGACACTATTCACTTAATGTTTATCTTCTGCGTTGTTAAACATTCTCCTCTTAACTGATGCCTCCAAACAGCTTCTGCCTGTCTCTTAAGTGGGAGATAATTTGATCAGTTTTCTCTATATTTTTTGACCAATTTCTTTTATTTCATTAAAAAATTTGAAGTTACTTTAGTGTGTATATAATATTTTGATTATA